CCCCCCCCAAAGCCGTAAACCTTGGGGAAACACTGCTAGTGCATTTGGGAAACAGATATAGTTAAATCTGGTTGTGTTTCTTCTAGCTTCCCAACGGTGTGACACAGAGTCAGGCAGCGTATCAGGACCGCTTTGGGAAGCTGCAGGAGCATCTGCGTCAGCTGACACTGCTCTTCCGTAAGCTGCGTCTGCTGTATGAACGCTGTGTGGAAATGACACCTGACCTCCAGGAGTCTCCAGCTGAGGTGATTCTAATCGATGGTTGATGCACAATATAGCTCTTCTGTTTGTTCATGTGGCCTTTTGATCATCTCAGCCCTTTTCCTATTAAATATTTAATGGGTATTTCACTTATTCTGACTAGCCTCTTAGGTCACTTGAAATTCATTTAATAACTATTTTTAGATGTTTTAGATATGTGTCTGCATTTTTATAGAAAGTAAAGGAATGTATTTTGAATTCCTTTTTTATTTTACTTTTTTATTTATATTTTAACCCTGCAAAGCCTGACATATGAAATAATAGTCAGAAAAAAAATTGAATTTTTTGAAACGCAAAAGTCTGAATCATTAGACATATATATATATATCAAAACAAGAAAAATTTTATGTGTTTTATGTTTTGTATCATATTTGATACATCAGGATTTTATGGCTCATCATATAGTATGATATTATGAGAATATGGAGCTCATACTCATACTTCATTTGGTGCAGTTGCTGGAATTTATATGGCTAAAAAGTAAGATGAAATTCTGTTAGCATGTAATCATGTAAATCAGTGAGATCTTTATAGCAGTATAACAGACTACTTATTAACATGAATTGATCATAAAGGATTAAAATGAACAAAATACTGGTAATGCCAAAAGTGATAGATACCATTTAATACAATGATAATGTTGAGTATTAACATGATTTGAGATTACATGTCATGCTGAATTGAATTCAATACAGTGCTGTACATTAGGAAATTAATGCTATTCATTTTTTTTAAACAATATCAAATTATGCAGGAAATATGAACAGCTTACCAATTACCCCATTTGGTCTCATATCTTAAAATAGATTTACATGTAAAGTTACTTGCATTTATCATGTAAATTGAATAAACAATGTGCTTACAGAGTTTATGGATATATTAAAAGCTTTTATAAAGCTTGCAGCAACATTTAACTTACACTTTCTCTTTCAAGAATCTTGTTTTCATCAGGGCAGCGTGAACAGTCAACAAATGCTTTAAAATCCTTTGTGGGCTGCAAGATCTGGGAATCAAGTCAGATCTTTGCTGAACAAATCGAGCATTTGCTAAATAAACATTATACCCTTGTGCTGTTGCTACTTTTGATATTGAAACCAAGCTCTAAAAGAGGTTTTGTTGTTATCCTTCTTGTGGTATTTTTTATATACATACTACAGTAGGGCCCAAAATCTGAGACTACACTGGAAATATGGGATTTAAAATGGAATATAATCCTGGAACATTTTTAATAAGAGAAAATGCATATTTTTTTGTAAAATTTGCTGTTAAAATTAGCATTAAATGACAAAAAATGAAAAATGAAAGCTTTTCCCATTATTGGTCTCAGACTTTTTTTTTCTCATTACTTTTTTATTATTCATTCAAATCAGATTCAATTTCAGGAGACAGTTATTACAGATATTCATTTCAATAATGTGTTTGCTTTCGTCCTTCCAGCTGATTCCTTATGTGGGAGAAGAGACGACACCTGTGAGAGTGGAGCCGTGCAGCCCAGCGGTTATTCAGGAGAGACAGGAGGTTCTAGAGGTTTGTTTCATTCATCATTAGTATCTCTGAACATACTATTACACTGCAGTATACAGTACACCTACAAGATATTATGCTTATTTATTTGGGTGAAAAAAAAAAACCCTATAACCATGGGTGGAGGGTGAACCAACAGTGGATGAGAAGTGGAGATGTATCACCCTATTTACTTGACTTTATATAATTTTCAGATGTGGATTTGTCATTTAAAAAGTCTTTTTAATGCTGTCATAATTTTTTATTCTAATCTGCAAATATAGAGTGTTTTAATTAAGAAATTGTAATTTGTAGATTAAAATATAAATGAATCATAAATATAAATGCCCTCCACAGCTGCATTTATTTGATTAAAATAAAGTAATATTGAGAAATATTATTACAATTTAAAATGCATTGTATTCCTTGATGGCAAAGCTGAGTCATTACTCCAGTCTTTAATGTCACATGATTCTTCAGAAATCATTCTGATATGCTGATTTGCTGCTCAAGAAACATTTCTTCTTATTATCAATGTTGAAAACAGTTGTGCTGCCTAACATTATTGTGGAAACAGATAAATTTTTTTAGGATTCTTTGATAAATAGAAAGTTCAGAAATTAGTTAAAATATTTTTTGTAACATTATTAATGTCTTTGTCACCTTTGATGAGTTTTATACATACTAGCTAAATAAAAGTATTAATTTCTTAAAAAAAAAAAAAAATGATGCATGTAATAACAGTGCACTAAGCTTCCCATATAATGTTTTTTTAACAGAAAGTGAGGCAGAAGAACCAGGAGATGAAGATGCTAATGGACCAGATGAGGAACCTCCTGTGGGACGTCAATGCCATGCTCACCATGCGAAAATGACAGCGGTATGCTTCCTAGTAAACATCTGACCATCTTCCGTGAACCCTCATCTACGGTCTTCTCACTCTCACACAGATAGCAGTGGATGGCAGACTGCCTTTCATTCAATACTCTTGCAAATGCCACATAATATATCATCTTGACAAATGGGATCAGACTCGGCAGCTCTTTGTGGTCCTGCCTCATTTGCAGTGTTAAATCACAATGCTCTGATTAATAACCGCTTCATCAAAGCGCTGAATTAGCATCAGAAACAGGAAATAATGTGAAAGCCATGTTGATAATGTAAGCTAGCCATGTTGTTGGCATGATAAATGAGCACTGAGGACTGAGCTTTGTAAATAACTGCGCTTACACTATGGTCTTCTGTGCATTGAACTGTGTGATGTGTTTCACACTCTTGCTCCTCAGCAAATATGTACTCGGGTAGAGTGTGTGTTTCCCTGAGCTCTGCATTACACGCCTGATAATCTGCCTTCTGGGGGAACGATCGTCTAAAAAGAAGCTAATGAATTGTAGAATGATAGGTTTTGTAAACTAATGACTTTTATACAAAATAAAAAAAGAAATACAAAAAGAAATTCTTAACAGCAATTGACATTTTCTGCCATGTAACATACAATTCCATCTAAAACTAGATATATTTATAATGTTAAAAAGTTTATATTTCAAATAAATGCTGTTATTTTGAACGTTCTATTCATCAAAGATTCCTGAAAACATTTATCACAGTTTCCATAAAAATATTAGTCAGCACAACTGTTTTCAACATTGATGATAATAATAAGAAATGTTTCTTGAACAACAAATCAGCATATTAGACACAGCTGTGCCATCACAGGAATAAATTGCATTTTAAAATATATATATAAAAAATGGTTATTTTAAATTGTAATAATATTTCACATTACTGGTTTTGGTTACACTTTATTTTGATAGTCCACTTTAGACATTCTACTAACTATAAGTAACTTTGTAACTACATGTCAACTAATTCTCATTAATTTGCACCTCATGTCTACTAACTCTCAGAGTAGACTGTTAGGGTAGGTTTAGGGTTAGTAGAATAAGTCGACATATACTTGCAAAGTTTCTCATAGTCAGTATGGTGTATGTTGTGGACCCATCAAAATAAAGTGTCAGTAGATATTAAGCAGACAGTCTCCTAATACTCTAATGACTGCTAGTTGACATGTAGAATGTCTAAAGTGGACTATCGAAATAAAGTGTTACCCTGGTTTTATTGTATAATAAATGCAACCTTGGTGCAAGTCTAAAAGACTTGTTTCAAAAACACAAACTTTTGAACGGTAGTGTATGCTTTAAAAATGATCACACCAGCCAATAATAAAACTACAAAATTTCATCTTGAACTACATGTCGTATGAACAACCAGTCAGTAATTACAATACTTTTCACTAACTTTAAGTGCACAAAGCTTCATTTTAATTTCAAATAAATGTTGATTCAGTAAGTGGTGAATCCTGAGTTCAAGAATATTTTTAAACAATTTATTACAATTGGCTCATAAGAATCATTTGCGTGTGCATCTGTAAATACACTTTTCCATATACTTTAATATACATTTTATCTTAATAATCTATTTCAACTTTCAATTGTCTGAAAAGTAATGGATTTGTCACAAAGAATATTACCTTTCACCTAACGTCTTTATGTTGAACAGAAAATTAGTTTCTTATTTATTAACTACCCATATGTTGGGTAGTAGTTTTAGGCATAGTTGCTTGAAACAGCAACATGAAAGCATAATTTCACAAATACAGACACAGTTTGCATTTCGGAATAATTTTATTGGTCATGTAATTACCACATCATGTGATCAGTCAGTTGCTGGTCGACTCACTGTCATGTGAGTGACATCCACAGCACCATTAGGCACCCTTAACGCTACAAACTCCTCCAGTCAAACAGCAGCTGGAATGATTGACAGATCTATGATGTTTTCTCATCCATGAAGCTGTCAGTCATAAATTGAGAACTGGTCATAACAGTCTCTTGTCCACCAACTGGCCACCACAAGCTAGCAACCAGTAGTGGAGGGATAGAGATAAGTCTCTCCATCAGCATCAGTATCAGTTTGTGACCCGTCGCCACTCTGTTCAGCTTTGCTCAGATGCGCTCCAGGTCTTTGTACCTCTTGCGCAGGACGGACACGTGGTCCTTGAACAGTATGGGGTCCAGGCGAAACTGAGAGTGCACTAGAGGCATGTAACCAAACCAGCTTGCAAAGGTGTTGACACACTCCTGCCTCTGGGTAAAGTGCTCAGGGTTCGCCCACGGGGCCATCTTAGTGCCCTTAAGAGTGGACAGGATATAAGACGTTAAAAATACATCACATTTTATTTTTTACAATTGCTTGGACACACTTCTCAATACTTCACTTCTCAATATTGCTTAATAAATTTCACTTCCAAAATGAACTAAAACTACCAAAACACAATTGTCTCAAATCAAGTCATTCTTCCATAACGCTAGCAAATGTTGTCACCCAACAAACACATTTTATCACTCATAAAACTATGACCTAGTAAAAACACTAACAACAGGAAGCATTTTATGTTTTATTTTATACAATTCCTTTACAAAACAGTAACGTTATATTTTAATATACTATTACTGAAGAAGTGTTGCACCCCTGATATACAGTCATTTGAAAGATGTAGACATTAAATGCATTTTGTGCCAAACAAATGGAAAATGATCTAAGGATGATGTGTACATTTTTCATATTTTGTATATTTTCATTTAGTACTGCCTTTCAGAAGCTACAGAAGATACTTTGTTAAATTGCTTCTGAGAAGACAATATAAGTACAATGTAAAAAATAATTTAAAAATAAGTACAAAACAATCTGGAAATTCAGTCATGATTTGCATGTCATTCCAAACCCATAAGACTTTAGTAAATCTTTGAAACACAAATTAAGATATTTTTAATAAACCTGAGAGGTTTCTGTTCCTGTCCTGTCCATGCATTCAAAACTTAAAAGATCTAAAAAAGGTTCTAAAGGCATCATGAAATGGTGAATCAAGCAGTTTAATCTAACTCTTATCGAGAGATACAGTCACTTTTTATGATTTAATTTAGACTTTTATTCACATACAAACACACATACATAGTGAATCAAACATGGAAGCTTTGTATGTATATCATTGATTCATTTTACGATGCCTTTAGAATCTTTTTATTTTAATCTTATAAGTTTTGGGTACCTGCACTTTCAATGGAGGGACAGAAACCTCTCAGGTTTCATTAAAATATCGTAATTTCTCTTTAGAAGACTAACCAACATCTTGGGTTTGGACCGACATGACGGTGAGTACATGATGACAGAATTTTAAATTTTGGGTGAACTATACCTTTAAGATTCAAAGGTATGTAAACCTTTGAACTGGCTTATTTGTGCAAATTCTGTTACATTTTGTCTTGTGGACTATATGTAAACATCTGTTTTGTGAAACTGCTTATTCAGGACATTAGTAAATAAAAATAACATGCAATTTTATGATTCTGCTTATTCTGTTAAAATTATTAAGATATTGCATGTTCTGCAAGGGGTATGAGCAGAATTGTAAGTACAAAATTTTGTCTTTGGACTCACCTGCAGGGTGGGCATCTCTTTGTACTGCTTCCTCTGCGCTACTTTAATCGGTGGCAGGTGTGTCACAGAGGAGACCAGGAAATTCATCAGGATATCCTCACAGTTAGAGGTGCGATCCACCAGCGCACGCACAGAGGAGGGCAGGTATTGAGAGAACAGGTGATGGTAGTACCTGTGAGGCACAAAGACATCAACACATAATCAAGAGCACTGTCTCCGCTGATTACGTTAGAGAGCTTGATGAAGCGTGAGAGACATCAATACTCAGTGTCTTGTCAGGATATGTCAGCTGCAGCCAATTACCTGTGATAAAACGCCGCTCCGGTGAGGACGATGGAGTACTCGTTGGTCCATTTAGAGGTGTAGCCCCAGGCCTTTTTTACAGGGTCCCAGAAATGGCTTCTGGGAGGGTAGCCAACAATCCTCTCTGGGAAACTCCGCCACACATGGAAAGCAAAATCGATCTGGAAGTGTCAGATTAGAGAGGAAAAACATGAATTAGCCTTGTCACATGTCAAAATTTAATCACATGTAATCTGATTTATTTTATTTAGTTTCGACTCTTTCTATGACCTAGGGCATCAACCAGAAGATATTAGATAAAAAACTAAATTAGAAAAGAATATAAATTAATATAAGGTATAAGAATATAGTGGATATAGAATATTCATATATTCTATATTCAATATAATTAATATAGAATATAAGATATAAATGTTTTATTTATTTATATATATATATATAAATAAAAACTAAAATTTAAACTATAAAAAACATTTTTGTTACTTGAAATAAAATGTTAAATGCTAGTTGCCAATTAAACTTTTTCATTAACTTGATGTAGGCCTACTAAAATAAATAAAAATAAATAAGTTTTTTAATGAACAAAAAGTAATACACAACACAAATACTAAAGCTAAACTAAAATTAAATAGAAAATATAAAAATCAAAACCAATTCAAAATATTAAAAAACTAATATAAAAAGATATAATATCCAAATTAAAGATATAACAATGTCAGAATTTTTTTTTTTTACAAAAATGATTCACTAAGGTCCCGTCCACACGGAGACGCGTTTAGCTGTATACGCATACATTTTGTAGAAGCACACTAGCACAGTCAAGTCTATTATTAAGAAGTGGAAGGTATTTGGTACAACACAGACCCTCCCTGGATCAGGACGTCACTCCAAACTGGATGAAAGAGCCAGGAGGAAACTGGTCAGAGAGGCGACCAAGAGGCCTACACCAACTCTGAAGCAGTTGAAGGACTTCATTGTATGCATGTGACAACAATATCACAAATTCTCCACAAATGTGGCTTGTATGGGAGGGTTGCAAGAAAAAAGCCACTCCTCAAGAAAGGCCACATGCAGTCATGACTGAGCTCTGCCAAAACAAACCTTGAAGATTCTGAGGCAGATGAGACTAAAGTTCAATTATTTGGCCTCAACACCAAAAGATACGTCTGGCAGAAATCCACCATCCAAATAACAGCATTCCTACAGTAAAGCATGGATGTGGTAATATCCTGTTATGGGGGTGTTTCTCTGCAGCAGGGACTGGAGCACTTGTCAAATGCAATATTAAAAACAAAATGATGATAATTTTAATAAATAAATAAGTTGAATTTAAAATAGATTAAAGTGACAAAAAAAAATATGCAGGATGAAGGTGAGACTCTATACCTCGCTGGTCAACAGCACCGTGTCTTCATCCAGGCTCAAAACTGCCTCCGTCTCAATAGCTGCATGTGGCAGGAAACGGCTGCTTGTCTGTGAACACAGAAGGTGGCAGAGAAAAGAGCTGAGTGAGAGAGCACAAGATCTCGCCACAGCTCACAGACATGACTTGACTGTTCTCTCACTTGAATACTCACTTTCCTTCTTCCATCTGTGATGATAAGGGGCACTGGCATAGGCGGCCATTTACTCCGGTGAGGGGGCGGCTTCTCACTGTTCCACAGGATGATGATCTGACAAGAAACCCAAACAAGAGCACACACTATCACAGCATACACACCAAACTGGTTGATGTGTCTTGTTGTTGGCTTTTCTCAGTGTCCAACTATATTAACACTTAACTGATGTGGATCTGCATTGATATCATTGAACAAAAGGTCATTCCTTAGTGGTGCAACAGGTGCTACTTTATGTTTGTAGAGATAAATACTGACAGAACAGTACCTGTGAGCAGTATTTTGACTTGGAGACGACCTGAAGGAGCTTCATGATTGGCTGAGACTGGGAGACCAGAGGTGAGGTGGCATGAATTACAGCAGTGAACTCCTGACCTGGGCTGATTCCTACATCAACAGAGGAAAAAGAGTGAGCGTTCTTGCCATAATGCATAGGACTACTGTATATACTTGTAGATATTATACTTTGTATAGTGCTCAATGGCACAATGTTTAGAATAGCAAACTACCACTGTGTTATTTTAGTATTATTTATATACTATTATCGTATTTATTCATATTTTGACATTTTTTATTTTCAGTTTTCATATTAATTTTTGCTTAAGTTTGTCATTTTGTTGTGTGCTTTTTATTCATTTTCATTTTTAAAATATTTCTAAAGCTTTTTATTTAAAAAAATAGTTTTAGCTATAGTAATTTCAGTAAACTTATTTCATTTACTTGTCAAGGCAACATTTCAAATTTTCATTAAATCTTTTTTACATTTTATTTTTTCAATCAATTTTTACATTTTTTTTTAAAAATCTAATATTTATATTTTAATTTCACTACCTGTTTTTAACAGTTTTAGTTAACAATAACAAACACTGCTACCAAACTACTAATTAAATTTTTGCAGTATGCATACTGTTTACAGTCAAATCTTCTGTTACTTTTGCCAAAATGTATCCCATAATGCAATACAATCAACCTTACAGTTTGACAAATGAACTGATGAATAAATGACGATTGAATATCACCCATGATTATTAACATCTTTCTTTACTCATTTTATTTATATATCATAAAACGTATTTTACTCAAAATATGATGAAAATGCTAAATAGCTAATAAGTGGATTTTATTCATTGAATAAAACATGCAACATATTTAATGAGGTCATGTGACAACAACACAGAACACAATTGTTTAAAAATATTTTTGTTTATAATGTACATTTTGTGATTATTCATTATTTGTTTTCTTGTTATTCTGTTCAAATTAGTATTCAGGCAATGCACACTTAAAAATAAAGGTTCAAAAAGGGTTTCGCAGCAATGTCGTAGAACCATTTTGGGTTCTTGTAAAGAACATTTTAATAATCTAAAGAAACTTTTTTCCCCACTATAAAGAACATTTCGTGCAATGGAAAGATTACATGGAGTTCGTTATGGAACCATAGATGCCAATAATGAACAGTACGGCACAGCATGAAGTACACTAGTATTCCATTCCAAATAAATATGCATACTACAATATATATTGCGTTGAGTACTCGGGCAGAACCAGCAGCCCTCCTGGTAAGGCATTCCACATGAATTTATTTCTGGAGATGTGCGAGTACACTCTGTCCTTTATGATCTGACAGACATCAAGACGGTAGCATTCAATATAACAATCAATCACATCAAATCAAACAGACACATTTAATCCCTATCAGTTTAAAGATGATCAGTTTCACCTGCTGGCCAGCAGGGGGCAAACCAAAGCCATACTTTTGTGCAAAATTGACATTCCATTTGCCAATTATCCTAAGGGCAGGGGACTAAGTATGTGCTAATTATGTATGGCATCCTTCACTGGTTTAATTTCCCTTGACAGACCTTCCTCTCTGTCAGACACGCCGCTGTATAAACTACACATCTAAGCTGACCTAGCTCTCACCTCCAGTGTGGTGAGTACAATCTTATCCACGGAGGAGAAGTAGGCCTCCCAGAGCATCTGTGTACGCTGTCTGAGAGCCAGCACCCTGTCAATGCCCACAGCCCGCACCGTAGAAGGTACCTGAGGGAACAAAGTGGCAAAGAATTCACCGGTGAGGTTAATTGGTGTTCCTATAAAAACCTTAGTATCTGGGTTCTACCTGTCACCTCCAGAAACTCTTCAAGACAAAAATATGCAGCACTGACAAAAGTGTTTTGCAGTGAAATGCTACAGTGCCCACCTTATTTTTCAACGCGGAAGTAAACTATTTTCTGTGAATGTGCAAGACTTCCGATTCATTTGTAAATAACTAACAAAGGGCGAATGACAGTGCAGTAAACGTTCAAAAGTAGTTGCGCTACAAACCAGTGTGTTTAGAATTTCGACAGTGCATTAAAATAATGTAAGAAATACCCGTTTTCAATATCAAGCAACATAATGAGCTGATTTTTATAGCTAAAAATAACTATATAAAAACAGGAAGTCCGTTCTTATGTTAAAAATCTTAATTTATTTAAACTAAATGGCATTTTATTTTGATTATTTATGTCTTATTAAACCCTCTTATTATAGCTCTGTATATTCTATATATTCTCCTAATAGGCCTATTCGTCGCCGTCCGTGGCAAAGCTGTAGGCCTATCGGATCACTGATTCTTCAAACCGACGCTTATTTTATGTGTGTCGCGTCACTGTCAACGCTGACTCGTTTCATACACACGGAACTGGTGCCATCTCTCATTTATCGATTTTATTGAAAGCAAAGACTTACATTACAGGAACACTACAGTAATATTGTTGCAGTGTTTTGCTACGCCAGGTGTTTTTGTACATTGTGTTGGACTGTTTTGTTCTTTGCGGAAGCTTTAGGATAACACACAGGTAAAGTAGGCTAATACAACAGTTTCAAATCACATCAATATCACATCATCTTTTTGTGAACGTAGCCTGTCTATTTACAGTCAGTTATTATCATTAGCGCGAAAAAACTGCGGTGTCTTTCGCCTCACATAAAAAAATACTATATAAATACAACTGTAATGTGCAAGTGAATTAGCAAAAATATGAATCCACGTCGGGATCCTGATCACCTTCTCATGGTTGTAATGTATATTTTGTGACAATTATTTATTTATCATTGGTGAAAGGTGCTGTAGCCTATGTAAGTTTTTGACTCTGCTAAAGCATACAAATACCATAATATGTTTGCAGACATTTAAGAAACATGCTAAGTTATACTTGTTTATTTGAAAAAAATGTTACATTCAGTTATCCTCGTTTGAAAATGTGCGTTCCGGGCCGGAATGTCGGTCTCTGTTTTGGTTTGTGAAACCCGCCCACTGCCAGTTTACCCAATTGTATTTAATATATTTTTATATATTTTTTTGAACTCTCACTTAGACTGCATTTATCTGATATACAGTAAAAACAGTAATATTCAGAAATGTTATTACCATTTTTTTTTAAAATTTATGAATATCTTTAAATTGTGATTTATTCTTGTAATGGCAAAGCTGAATTTCCAGCAGCCATTATTCCAGTCTTCAGTGTTACATGATCTTTCAGAAATCATTCCAATGTGCTGATTTAGTGCTCAATAATAATTTCTTTTTATTATCAACAGTCATGCTGCTTCATATTTTTGTGAAAACTGTTAAAATTTTTTCTGGATTCTTTGATGTTCAAAGAAACCGCATATATATAAACATTAACCAAGATTAACGAATGCTCTAAAATGTCCGTTGTTAGTTCATGACACCTAATACTTTAACTAATGTTAACAAATTGAACCTTAATGAAAAGTTTGATCAAATATTCATGTCAAACAGCAGCAGGAATAGGTAAACTGCAATGGTGAAAGTCACAAAATCTAAGAACGCACACTTTCCCTCATACATTCATGTGAAATCGTCATGATAAAAAAGTGCTTGTGCATATGTTTTTTCAACTACCAACGTATATTTTAATTAGTGGCGTCTTCCATCCTTATGTTCCCTTCTCAGGAAAATGACATTCGAGTACTTCACAGGAAGGGTTGTTACCTGTAGTAACAGTCTCTCGTCGCCCTCGATGACTGCCTGGTTCCACTGGATGACATCAGAGAAGGGTAACTCCCAGCCATTACTGAGTAACACCGGGATACAAGCGGCCTGTGAGGGATACAACCACAAGAGACAGAAAGTGGCTTAGACTATAATTAACATCAGCACAATCAATTCATCGAATGAAAAATAAACACACACACAAGAAAACAGACCAAGTTCACTCCAAATGCGCTGAAATATAGACATAGTGCATCTGATTTTTCCCTTTAGGCAAGGTTATGAGATATATAGCGTGTGATGAAAAGGCTGTTTGGATGTTTAAGAAGTCTCAGAGGGGCCTGTGCATGACTCATCACTCCCATCCAGTATTTTTATCAAACACACCGCCAGACAGATGTGTTAATTACCCCATCTCCCTCGCCCCGAATAGGATGGTGAGGTAGGAGAGGAACAGGGGTCCATGATTTATTGAAGTGGAGTTGCTCGCCTTCCCTCTTGTTTACTATTCCATCTTGATGTTGCTCTACTTTTCCTCCCAGATTCGTTGTTTGCCTTTTTTCTTCGTCTTTTCGTCATTCAGCTCATATTATGGTCTACAGTGAGATTTTTAATTAAATCATAAGTGCAATTCTAAGAACGGGCCAAGATCAAACACACCCCTCTAGCTGTGTGCAGCCATGCTTTCATCCTAAACAGCGTTAGAGGACACATGGGCGGACAGCAACACATTGCTTCAGGTGACTGATTGCTACCTTGGCCTACTAAGCCCACAGAGACCCAGGAGCTGGCCTTTGTTTCATGCTCTGGGATGATGGCTCTTGAGCCGCCCGACTAGCACAGATCCCTCTTGGCACTGATCTATTCCGTGGTTGCTTGCACAGCCATTTTTCTGCAAAGAGTGTGTCGAGGAATCAGCACCACAGAGTGGTTGCGAGATTAGAGAGAAAGAAAGCAGGATCTGGATGATAGGGGTCGGAGGATGTTTTTGAGCAGTGGTTCTCATGCTGTGGTGTGTGGACTTTTGCAGTACTAATTTACAGTACTAAAATTTTTTATTTAAATCGCTGTAGTTATGATCCATATTCATTTATAAAACAGATTGTACTGACATTAATTGAATGAGTAACATTTGAAGCCACTGTAAAATTCACACCTGTGACAACATATTTTTTTAATTATTTTTTTTTAATTAAATTTTTTTTATTTGATTTTAATTGCCATGTTGAAACCATTAACAGTTTACAAGTAGGATGATGAACTATATTTGTATTTATTCTGATAATTATAAATAATTAATTTAATTTATTATTAAACACACCTGTAACTATATTTTATTTTATTTTACAATTTAATTCGATTTTAATCGCCAAGTTGCTTGGAAACCATAAATTACCTACAATTAGAATAATTAACTATATTAATTGGTGTTCAATCTGATCAATATTAATAATAAATGTAACTTAACACACCTGTGACTACATTTTATTATTTATTTTATTTTATTTATTTTTTTAATAGTTTAATTGTATTTTAGTTGCTACGTTACTTGGAAACCTTAAGTAGCCTACAATTAGGATAATTAACTATATTAATTTGTGTTTATTTTGGTAACTATTAATAAACAATTAAATAATAAATAATCGTATTATTAAAAACACCATTTAATTTTAACATATTACTTTTATTTTATTTCTATTTTAAGTCTATCGATAATGTATGCTAGAAAAATTCACAGCACAAGACAGACTAGACAGCATTCCAAAATATATACAGTATATATAATATTAATGTTTTGAAATAGACTGAAAAGTTTGCATATCAGCGTGTGAATTTGCAATGAAATACTTTCTAAATTAAATCTCTAAATCTCTCCACAAATCTGCAAAAGGGCCAGTCAAGGGATTGATGAGACAGCAGCATGATTTATCTTAATTACAAGGATATGGATATTAATCAAAAGATGGTATTATGTCACTCACACAGTCCGTAGGCTTGCGCCCAGAGATGTCAATGTACCCACTGCTGAAAAAATGAAAAGGAACATTGTGACTAGATGCAGGAGTGTAACAGGGCCGTAATGGTCCGCCACCTTTGATTGGAAAATATTTAGTGTCGGCCACCTCTGAAATCCCAATTTTACCCCCGGCTAGGTGCTACTTGGCCTAAAATGTTTGAGAGCCTCTGTTCTAGAATTTTCAGCAGTACTAGTAATTGCCAGTTCTTTCTGTGGCTTTGGCTGCCTCCAAAGAAAAGAGATCTATGGAACTCAGACAGGGGCTTATATGGAAAAGCACAGAGGGAGAAAAAGACAGAGGAATAGAGCGAGGGAGTGCCGAGGAATCAGTGTGAGGGCCGAGCTGGCTGCCAAACCCACCATTCTGTGGATTTATCCATTCAGCACAGCTCGGCAGAGTCGAAGTGAGGGCAGCCTCGTGAGCTTCCGGCCCTTTCACACACACCACCAGGACGCCAAGAATATATGCGCCTGGGACGTTTTTCCACTCGGCGGCTAATGTGCTGTTTATCTGGGAGACTCCGAAACCTGACTGTTTTCATAAACTGCCAAACCTTTCTTGCATCTCTAAAAGGCTTGTTGAAGCATACTTGGTTGTATTCAGTTTTCGGGTCAATTCATAGTTTTCAGTCACGTGACCCGGCGGGCAAAACATCCATAGAACTGCAGCACAAGCCTGTAAATTTTCTATCTGTTCCAATCCAAAAATATTTAGATCACCTCTCAAAAGAATAAAACAAAAATATGTGAACAAAATGCAAGTTTTGGCCATTTGCAATCCATATAAAGCACCCGCCGCAATATCTCAATCACTAAAAACAGTGGTACATACTAAAACATTTAATGTGAAAACACTTAAAGTGCCTTTAAAACAGTGATATTAAAAGATCAAGTTCAGTACACACCTTATTGATGATTGCATGCATTATGCATGCAAGCAAATGAGCCCGGAATATGAACGCAATGCACTAAATGATTAAGCGTCTTTATAATGGTTTTCTATGGGAAAACATTTAATATTAAACCTTGCGCATTGCGTTTATATTCTGGGTCCATCTGGTTGCCTGTACAAAGTATGCATAATCAATAAGGTGTATACTGAATTTGGCCTTTAAATATCACTTACTACTTAAAGGGGTCATATGATGCTGCTAAAAAGAACATTATTTTGTGTATTTGGTGTAATGAAATGTGTTTATGCGGTTTAAAGTTATCAAACAAAGTAGTTTCGCTTTCACAACGAACAACACAGTGGCCTAGCGTGAGGGGAAGCCCCGGCTTAGCGTGCGCTGAGGCC